AGTAATCCCCACTGTAATTTGGCGTGTCCAACGCAGTAACCTCGTGCACTCACGAAGTGACTCGCTCACCGTCCCTGTACATGCCCGTAAATGCATGGCACCTCCTCAGGGTTGGCAAGCCACGGGCAAGGAGGTCAGTTCCTCGTGTGAGTTCTTCCTTTGGCCTTGTCACCCCAGACGATCAGGGTTGTATCCTGATCCCCCGCCTGCCGCAGGCTCAGCCGTGCCCGGAACGGCGATGTGAGGTGGCCAGCGCGGCTGAGATGGCAAGATCAGGCAATCAGAGCTCCATGTGCAGGAGCAAACCTGCTGTTTATCCATCCTGCTGCTGTGCTGGGTGGTTTTGCTAGAACGTTGCCACTGAGAGGTGTCCTCTTTTGTGTCGCTTGGTTCTGACTTGGTGGCAGGAGTGATGGCATAGCTGCAGATGCTACACGTTACCTGTCTGTAACGTTCCCCTAGTGTGGAAGGATAAAGCTTATTTCCTTATTATGATTTACAGATCCAGGAAGAGTCTGAAATGTGGAAGATACGAGAGTGGGAGAAGCAGGCAGAAGAGACTTACTGGAGAAGGCAAAGCAGAATGCTGTCTGACACCTCCACGTAGGTTTTAGCTGTGGTGGGGAAAAAGCTGCCTTGGTTTAACGGTATTCATAATACTAAGTAATGTTTTTAAAGTATTTTAAGTGCACTATCTCATGACTGTGTAATATAAGGAAACCATGGTCAGTTTGGTTTGCTGCATTGGATTTTTCAGTAGTATCTCTGCAGCAGGAAGTGGGCCTAGTTTCTTAGGAGAGAACACCTTCACACCTGTGCTGAGTCCACTGGTGTGACTCGGCTCAAGAAATGCGTCGTTTTAAGTGAGAACCCGAACGACGACAACGGGCGTGTGAGAGCACTGAAAACTGATGATGGCTTTTGTTGGATTTGGAGTCTCAGTCCTGATACCTGCTGAGGTTCAGTTTCCTGTAGGTCATTTCTGCTCCCTGAGTTCACCGTCTACTGTTTTTCACAGCCTAAGTCATACTGCATTTTGTTAGTCTGCTCCTGCAGTGTCCCGGGGAAGAGGACTGCAGTTTTGGTGGCAGGCAAGGTAAAGAGGGAGCACTTTAAAGTGCTGTAAGCATTGCTGTTTGCCGGGAATGTTGTGCATAGACAGCAGCAGTAAATATGAAAACCAGTGCCAGGTTCTGAGCTGGCTTTGTAAGAGCTCATGCTGACGCCTGCGTGTGGAAATGGTGTCCCGTCTGCTGCCACAGATGGACATCCGAGACGTGCTGGACTTTCGCTCCCCTTGCTGGACGGAGCCCTTGTTCAGAAAGTTTCTCCCTCAGATCTGACCACTGAAGGACAACTGTTGTCTCTCTGCAGCAGTCGGATGCGCAGTGACGGCTTCGACGAGGACAGCCACCGGCCCGACTGGAGGACAAGGAACTCCCAGTTCCTCGACCCCATCGAAGATGATCTGCTCCGGGCCCGGTCCTGGAATAAAAAGCTCTACGAATGTGAAGCCAACTTGCCAGACAGGTCTGTGGGGGAATTAATGCTCTGAAATTATCACAGGAACACCGACCTGGAAAACTTGGTACAGTTCTCTTTCCAATACGTACATCTATAAAATAGTGGTTGATTTGGGGCTGAATAAGTAAGATGCCCAAACTCATGCATTGCCATAGAATGCCTAGATTTTAGTTAATCCTTAGAGTTCCTAAGCTTGTGTTTATTACTTTGCCCAAGGAATCCAAAAAAAAAAAAAGGTGTTGATAAATGCAGATTAGTGCTTTTGGGTATTTTAAAGGAATGTGAGTTGTGCCATTTCCCTACTCTGAAATGTGAAACTCATGCTCACCTTGTGGCTCTGTCTTTTCAGAGCTTTGTTAATTTATTTTTCTTAAAAGTCTCATCTGTTCCTAAGAGATGTTTATGCTCCCTTACAGATGGGGTCACAGTGGCTACAAAGAATTATACCCGGAAGAATTTGATACAGATAGGTAAGGCGAACAGGCTCACTGAGCTATTCTGAATCTTACTCTGTCAGGTTGTGCAGGGCATTTTATAAATTGAACTTTCAGTGTTGACTTTAGATAAGCCTTTGCTGCCATAACAGAACTGTTAGGATACAGATTCCCCTGGAGAATTCTAGTCCTTTAATGTGGGCTTATTTTCAGTTCAGAACAAATATAATTATTTTGTAAGGATGCTGGCATTATCTGCTAAGGCAGAAACTACTGAGTTAAGCTGTCTGTCTGCTTCCTTCTGGTCACGCTTGCTCTTCTTACAGCGACCAGCGAGAAGGAGAGGAGCAAAATGCTGTGAATGGGAAGAAGAAATCTCACCCGGGAAAGCAACCTGCCCGAGAGTCGCACAAACGGAAAAAAACAAAGAAATCACACAAGAAGAAACAAAAAAAAAGGTCACACAAAAAGCGGAAGAAAAAGAAAAAGGACCAGGCGAGAGCATCATCAGACTCTTCCCAGGAGAGCGAGTGCTCCGAAGAGACTTCGAGCACCCGGAAAGGGAAACACAAGCGCAAGAAAAAGACCAGGAAAGTGCCTGCCAGCAAACCTGCCTCTTCCTCAGGGCAGGAAAGTGACTTTTCCCATGCAAGCAGCTCAACCACCAGCAGCTCTGAGGACAGCGAGTCCGAGGAGAGAAAAGAGAAATGCCCCCCAAAGAAGAGAAAGAAACATCACAGCTCTGTGTCCGAGAGGATCAGCGAAGTACCGGAGAAGAAGAGCAAGAGGAAGAACTGGAAAGTGGCGGCCGACGAGAAATCGGAGGAGAGCTCCGACGAGGACTAGCGTGGAGGGAGGTGCTGCAGTGCCCGCCACACGGTAGAGGACAGAGACAGCTCTTTCC